AGGTTATTAAGTGTTCATTTAGGATGGTGGATAATAACTGCTGTTCCTGATATTTTAGATTAGACTGCCCTTACTGCTTGTAGGGCTTATTTTCAGTGACTGTTAGTCTTGTTATTACAAATACATATTTAATGTTTGAAGCACTATCAACAAGATCAGTAAACTTGTGTACTGTCCAGAAACTGCAAAATATTAATTCATTAGTTAGCACTTCGTCATTAACTAACAAGAACTCTGCTACAACAATATCCAGTAATTAATGAGGCAGAATTGTTATTGGGAACTTTTTAACATGTAAAACCAAACAATTTTGTGGGTTTGTTCACTTATTATAATACAACATATAAAAGCACCAACACAAATATTACAGAATAAATTTCTGTGAGAAAAGATGCAGTGGGACCAACATCGCCCTGAGAAAAATAAAATTAAGGTATCAGGGCAAACACAGGTACTTTTTAAAAAGGTTTGTCTGAAATAACACTGTTGGCCACTCCAGTAATGTTTTGTTTTCCCTGCCTAATTAGACTCAGAGGCTGCCTGTACTTCAATCTCAAACTCTAACAATAGTGATGCAATTGTTGACTAGAATAGCATATTAGAGGGAGAAAAATAACATTAGCTATAGCAAAATCTCTTTAAAAACATAATTTTCTGCTGCTTAGCTACAAATAGACAATACAGGCTGAGCTTTTCGTATCCATATTTTGCAGATATTGTTTCTCTGTGTTAGATACTAAATCTAATAAAATCAGGAGCTTTTCACTATGAAGTCCACTTTTCCCTATGGTTGAACAGTAAAAATAAACTGGGAAGTTACAGTTCTGACCAAATGGCATCAATGTTCAAGTTGGATATGCAGCGCAATCATGGTGGAGACCAAACACAAAGATGCTGTTCTTTAAAGATCTGGCCCAAATAGCTAAATTGTTATCTTTCATATTTGGTACTGCGTTTTTTCCCCTTTTGATATTTGTCAGATGATTATTTTATTATTGCAGCTGTTTGGAATTATAACACTCCCTGATGATGCTTATGTTTGCTATGGAAAAATAGTGGCCTTGACTGTGAACCTTTACGTTATATCAGTGAGACTGGAAACTGGCCCTGAGTACCAGGTAAAGATTAGGCCACTAGTGTCTCACATTTCATTAGTCATTAGTAGATTATTATTTTGTTTAATGGCATTTGAGTGGCATTCAAGACAAGAACACTTAGTATGGAGGCAGCACATATAAACCTATTGTTAAGTTTGGCTTCTTTGGTAATATAAACATTTTTTAGGTTGTTCGTCAGACTGTCATTTTTTGGGCCTGGAATTTTCCCTGCCTTGTGTTCACCTTAGCTTGAAATATATTTAAAATTCTGACACACAAATGAAATAGATGGGAAATAGGAGAAATAAGTAGATTTTTTAATTGTCAGTCCTGAGTGCTGAGGTTTTGTATGCAATTTTTTCTCAAATATATAACACTGTGCATAACTCCTGCCCTTCTCTGTAAGAAATACATGGTATAGTAATGCTTAATTCATGAAGGAAAGTGTCCTCAGAAAGTATAACATATTCTAGATCTACCCTTTTTTTCATCCTCATTTATCTACAGATGCCCTTTTCAATCCACAAGTATTCTTAGGTGATTTACTATTCCTTATTCACACTGTGGCAGTGAAACCCCAGTCAAGTGCTGTTTAACAGGCGAAGTAGAGAGCAGCATCCCTCAGGACACCATCAGTATGTAATTATGAGGAACATTTGGACTAGGAAATTGGTAATTATCCTCATATTTCTATCATTTAACTGTAGAACTGAACCACACATGTCTGGTTTATGGTTCCAGAAGCCACATCTATGCTCAGTTTTATTGTAGTGAGGGTAGCCTCTGTTTCAACAACATGCAGCTCCAGCAGGATGGTTGACCAAGCTGTGCAGTTATGCATGCTAGCACATCTGCATGGCTGTACAAGTGAATTGTCATTCCTGAGCTCAGTCATTGCATCTGCTAAGGTCCACCTTTAGATCTACATGAAATGTATGAATCTGCTTTGATCCCATCTCCACCGTTTCGGTTGTGTTATGCTCACCTACATTAGCAAGTGACTCAGCACATCACTGGCAACTCATCAGATCAAGTGACTGCTGCTGAGTTCCCTACCTTAGACTAAGCATGGTGCAGGGGTTTATGTCAGACTCAATCTATTTTGGTTAATCGGACCAAATATCCCACCTATGCAAGTGTCTTAAAACTGTCTGAAGAGTTAATGCTTTTCTCAGATCCTTAGAGGCACACCATTTGGTGTGCATTTAGCGCATGGCCTCTGGTCTGGCTTAGTTTCCTTTGAAAGAATTCTAATTTGCATGCCATACATTTGCTCTGTGACCCAAACCAATACGTGGTAGAGTGCAGACAATCAAGGGTTTCACTTAAAGAAACTCTCCTGCCCTGAATTTAAGCGCTAATTCAGGTGCAGCAGCTGGCAGCTGTTCAGTTGCTATTTATTTAAAGGTCTTACCTGTAACTGACTGTGTGAGTGTTTCTGGATGGTGTCAGAACGAAGTCAGACTGCAGCTCATGTCTTTTATATTTACCCTATTGACTGCCTTGATTTGAGTAAGCCCTGCTTTAGTAACTGACCACAGCTCAGAGACAGTGTAAGAAAGCAGTTCTTATGGTGTTTCAAAAATTAGTCACTGGTTCCTGGATCAGACACAGCACTTGGAAGTAAGCATGTGAATGAGTGTAGTATGTGCTCACAATATTTGCCATGCAATGCTAAATGCGTGTTCTGCAACTGACCTCAGTGTGCCAGTTTAAGTGCATTATCTCATAGATATGATCCTCACCTATTGCATCATATATCACGTTTAAAGTCCCATGACCAAAACTATTAGTCTCTGACCTCTCCTATACAATTTTAGGTGGTCTTTGCTGGCTTAGGGAAGTGCTGGACTGGCTTTTGTGCTGTTGTAAGACATGGTAGCGTCTTATTAGTGCAGGGTGGTAGTTATTATGCAAATTAACTGATATTCAATTCCAATTCTTTTTCTATTAGGCAAACTAATAAACTCTAAAAAAAAAAAAGTCTGGGTAATTAGTTTTTCTTCTGAAATAGCTACTCCAACTTTTCTAATATGGCTACTGTAATATGAATTTTCATTTGATTCTTCTTTTTTTTTTTTTATTTGGAAAGAGGGGGGTAACTAGAGACAAGGGAGATAAAAAATTATTACTGTTTAGTTGAAGGAGCTACTCTCCCAACAGCTTATACTCACTGAATATCCTGTTTTATCAGTGGGGGCTTTGTGTATGAATGAGGCAGGTGTTTTCTAATACAAGAATTCAGCTTGAACTGACTTCTGTTTTCTTGCTTTTATAATGAAATCCAGGCTTGACACTTTAAGGTGTATCTGAAATGCCTAAACTCAGCTTGAATTCACCAACTCATAAACTAAAGCAAAAGGACAAAACTTTCCCTGTCACCTTATTGTCTGCCTTTAGCTTTGCAATATTCAAGCAGCATATCTGGCTACATCTGGCTGCTAGACTATTATTTCTAACACTTGATTTTTTTTCTGAGTCTAGTTGTATGTGCAGGAACAGTGAAAAATGGTTGAACACCCACGCTTGGGAACAGAAAGCATCTGCTGTTCAATACCATGGAGGTGCCAAGATACTGTTGCCCTGAAAAATATGTGTTAGAATAGGTAAGCATGACTAACACATGCACACTTAAGCAACTTACAAAGACTGGGTTTCGACTAAGGGTGGGAGAATTTTAGTCTTTCACACCTGTGGTATACACACTCTGTGCTGCAGTGGATGTTTCAGAAACCTATTCTGAAATGGATTCCGTATTCTTGTGAAGATAAACAGTACTTGCAACATTCTTCCAGCATGCAGTCAATATGCTGCTGTCTGTTTGCAAAGCTCTTGATGGAATAGTTGCTCAGAGGCCTAAGCTGGTTGTGGGGCTTTCTCAGGAGAGAGCTGAGAATTACTGTGTGTGGATTGCACCTACTGGTGCAGTCTTTTTCCTCTGTCTTCAAATACTTCATAAACAGTCAGGTATACTGTTGTAACAGTGATCCTAATAATTTAAAATGTTGACACTAGATGTAAAAGAACAACAAATGCTCATTGGGCCAGCTTTCCTTGGATCTTTTCTTGTCACACTGGCATAGAGTAGGGGGAAGCTGCACTGATGTGGGTAGCCATACAACTTAAAGCAGGGGTTAGCAGATCTAGTAAATCTGGCTTTCTCAAGTGGGGAATCTGGTGTTTCGCTATATCAATAGGCCCTGCCTATGTGCTTTAGCTACTGGTTCAGTACAGTGAACTACTATGTTTTTTATCTAAGTGGCAGCAGGTTCAGGTTCTGTTTGATCTTCTTCACCAGAGATAATGTTTAATTTGGGTGGTAGGAAATTAACATTTTAGAGAATAGTGGGAAATAAATGAACATAGAAGAAAGAGACCAGTCTGCAAAGGCAAAAAAAGCTGCAATTTTATTATTTTTCAGCATTGCTTTTCTAATAGAGAGAAAAACACTGGAAGAAACAATTGTTTTTTTTGGGTTTCTACATTCCCTTCAGTTTTCAGTAATCAAAGAACATTTTATAAATCTGTAATTGTTTTAGTCCTCCATGGAATAACAACATTTCTGTGATATTTTCTTTTTCTATAGGAGAATGACACTTTGTAAAAGTGGGAACATTCTGTAAAACTGTGTGTTTTCATGAAGAGCTGTTTTAAAAAAAAACATTTCTGCAAGGTCAAAATGGTTTAAATTTTGTTGTGTTTTGAAATATATCAAATATATTCCTATCTACTTCTTCAATGCAAACAGGGAGGCAAGGTAAAATTCTATCTGGCTTAATGTTGGAATAGAGAATTTTGAATTCTTTAAAATGTTGTTTTAGAGAAAAATTGTTTAGATTTATGACTCTTCTCTTGTGTATCGAAGGAATTAATTGAAGAGATAATAAGTAAACGTTGTGTAGCTTTTTGGTTTTTTTCCAAAAAATATGGTATTTAGATAAATAGATATATAAGTAAATAGAACACATTATTATTACCCTGTGTTTAATTATTCCTTCCTCTATTTCACCTGATCTAGAAGAAGGTGAAACAAAGCAAGTGTTTGGATTAGTGCACACCAGTTATGGCAAGTGATGCCCTGCAAAGCTATTATGATGAACCGATTCACTGCTTCTATTTCAAGCTCTCTTTCATACTCACTTGCTCTGACATTTCTCAGACAGGTTCATAATAACCTCAGTAGTCTTTTTCTTACCTACCCCATGAAAGTAAAAATACTTTCCTCTGTTCATTTAACGATTAATTTCTGTAAATCTTCTTGCATGTTGATAAGCTTTTTTTCTTTTTTTTCCTGATTACATTTTAAAATGTATTTCTTTTTCTGTCCAGCTGATCAGAGTAATCCTTAACTCCCTTCACTGTAGCTCATCAAGACAGGCAAAGAGCTTATATCTGCATTAAGCCAGACTCTGTGAGCTCTGCAAATGGAAATGTGCAGTTTTGCATGCAGCTGCCTGAACGTATTATTCCCATTAAACAAGTGATCCTTTCTCCTAGAAATATGTTGTTGTCACTCTGCACAGATGCAGTTACATAAGAAAGTCCTGCTGCATCACAGTAATAATATATCATGGGAAATTAAAGGTGTCTGCTTCTCATCTATTATTTTCTTTTTTCTTTTTTTTTTTTTTTTTGAGATTATTGTACTGTGACCTTATTTTTGCACTGAATTTCAGTAGAACCTTATTAGGAGCCCCAGTAGGAGTCTGGAAAAGAGCCTGATTCTGACCTTTTCCTTGTTCAGTAGTGTAGCTGCTAGTTTATAGGTGCATGCAGAAGGTCAGAGTCAGGCCCAATGCTTTCTGAGTTTTCACAGTAACTTTAAGCAACAGTTTTATCTGGTAAGGGAAGAGTCTCAATAGACAGCATCATCATCTGTTCTTTCTGCGTTTTTATCTGTGCCTGGACCTGCCTTGCTCGTCCTTCCAGCCGCAGAGTCCATTCATGGCGGAGTCTGTGGAGAGAGGACAAGCACTTAGCAAGTACTGAGCCAAATCCTTCAAATATATCTAGGGCTTTTCAGCAGGGTCGAAGCTTTCCTCTCTTTCATCACTATAGCACTTGTCCTGTATTTGTTTACCAACTACACATCTCTCTAGCTTGCTAGATCAGGAATGCAGAGGAGAAAGGGATAGTCCTGATGCTATCAATGGTTGACATTGCTGGATTCCAAATGAGTCAAACAACTGTTGAATTACTGTCAGTGTGAAGAGCTCTGGTTTTTTTTTTCCTCTGGGGTATTCACAAAGCTACACAGAAGTACTATCTATCCAATAAGGTCATTCAATGTGTAAATTAAAAAATACAATTACACCCCTAGACCCCCCAAGTTTACTGTAAAATGCTGTGTAGAAGAGCAAGAAGGTCTGTCAATATGCCCATTTGGGTTTACTCTGAAGAAAAATAAGGTAACCATTTCGTACCTAAAATCTCTACAGACCCTATATGTGTTTAATGAAAGGAATTGATATCACATGCAAGAGGAGCCACATGACTTCAAAGCGCAAGTATAGTACAGACAGAAGAGAAAACCACAAGGGACCACTGCAAGATATTGTTGGATGTGTAATTTTCAAAGGAAATTGTATTATGAAACACCTGATCCAGCAATGCTATAGGATTAGATATCATATGGTAATGCCCAATGCATCATGGGTTTTTATGTTACATTTGGTGTGTTAAAAAAAATCAGCCAATGATTTCACCTGAGACTAATTCACAAGTAGCTGTTTCACGTTAATGCTTCTGTTACTTTGGCTTCTGAATTTGATTTCAGATAGTGTTTTAAACTTTTCTCATTTGGTCTACCCTGTCTTTGCTTCACTATTCCCTTATGCATACACTTAAGACTCAAACAATTTTTGCAATTAATTAGGAAAAATTTGCCATGGAAAACACTGGTGTTCCTTGTCAACTAGTGTCCTAGGTGGCACGGAATGAACACTATCCTACACTTAGAGCCACCTAATTCTCCCAGACTTACATGAAGTCGTGAATCTGCAGATTTTGTAGTGACCTTTAGATTTATTTTTTGTTTTTATTTATTTATTCAAATTATAGAACTTTGTGAACAATCTGGGCTTTGGTCAAGTGACCTTGAAGGAACATTTTTGGGTCTATTTCAGTTGTAACCTCTCTACTAAGATATATTGGCTATGTAAGCTAAGACATATTCAGAGTTCTTATGCTGTAAATTTTTTGCTTTTCAAAGAAAATCTTATGAAAGTTTTTAGCGTTTTTAACTTTGTGATGTTAAAAATAGTACCTATACCCCCAATTGCAATTGATTTGCCTGTCTTTTTTTGTGGTATTTTTTTGTGAAGCTAGAGTGACAAAGGTTTCTAGTGCAGCTGAACACTTTCCTGGGTTTTACTATATATGTTTCCTCTCCAGCAACTTGGTGGTTTGGGTTGGGAATATTGTTCACTAACTGGAGTAGGATGCATTTACATGGGAGCAACACTGTCTACATCTGACTATTGGTACACAAAGCCTACACAGAGCTTGATTTCCTTATTCTTTAAATGACAATAGTAGCTTTCTCTTTGGGAACTTGTGTCAGAGTATGTGGAAATTTTTTTAAGGAAACGGCCCTTTACCAGCACATTCCGGTGTGTTGAAGTCAAATTAATTTATCTGAATGTCCCAGTTTTGAAGAAAGTTTATTCAGGAAAACTTTGTTAATTTCAGCAGGAAAACCCATCAGAAAAACACAAGAATCACAGATACTTCTTATGCTCTTTCTCTGTCCATTGTTAGCCAGGGGATTTACTTAGTGTGTGTGAGACCCTGGTTCAAACTCCTGAGGTACAACAGACTGAGAAACTATTTGAAGCAGTCTACCATACTTGTGCTGAATATTTGAACCATAATCACAACTGTTTTGGGAAAAAAAAAATAAAATTGAGTAGCCTTATTTTTTATCTATCTGTTGTGTAGCAGAAATGCTAATTAAATGTGTTCCATGGGACAGGAAAATCTCATTATACTGTTTTTTCCTTGGTATTATATGATGAGAAAGGTTGTTAAACATTATAAAGATGCTATATGTTTGTTGATTCTACACATTAAATGGATGGTTTGCCTGTCCCTTTAATGTAATACTACTTTATACTAGTACTAGCTGTACCAGTTCCAGATAAAAATCTTGGTATTTTCTGTCTGTCACAAGCCATACTGCCAATGTATTTTATTTTTGTGTGGCTATGCTCCAAGGCCTTTGAAGAATGCTCATGAGGTTCAGGGGTGAAGGGTGTCTGAGTTTCCATGTAGAAGAGCCACGGAAATATGAGACAAGCAGCTTTGAGAGAAAAAGTGCCAAAGATCCTGAACACAATCTGTGCTATGAATAAAGCGGTACAATAAGGAGTTACCTTATTTTAATGCATGTGATGACATGCCTTGCTATATTGTGCAAAAGAAAAAGTACCACTTACTTGCTCAGGGCGCTTTTGCTTAACCTAGACTCTTCACATTCTCTTTGCTTAGTTTGCTCTTGGATGACTTTCTCCCAGAAGTTCTTCAGCCCTCCTGCATCATGACCACACATCTTGTGTCTTCTAAAGCTGGTATGCTTGCTCATTTTCTGAAAAGCAATTTGGAGGTCATAACAGTCAGGAGCTTAACCTAAGGCAGATACTGCACTGCTTCGCCCCTTGCAATTTCTTTCCCATGAAATGCTATTAAAATAAAGTGTGTCACCTGAGAAGAATAGGTTACTGGTGTTTACTATGCCTTGAAGCAAAATACAATGCATTGAAACATGCCTTGGGTGATTGCTAAATGGTGAACCGACATTTTTGTTACTGAGTTATGACTACGCATGGCACATTTCACTGAAATATTGTGGAAGCCTCAGAATGTGTGAGTTTTTATGTGGTTTTGGAAGAAGCTGGGAAAAATTCTTTCAAATATAGTGCCATTGTCACTATCATCTCATCAGACGAGATGTTGTAAAAGGTTTTCCCTTTTTCTACTTCCTGTAATTTTAAGAGATTATAGATGGTTGTTATCCAAGGGAAATATGTTGCTTTTAAATTATTCTTTCTACTGCTTCAAATGATACGTAGCACAAAATGTGTGGAAGAATTATGAATCTAAGTTGAGGTTGAAACACACAAAGTGCAAAGCCCTAGGGAGCTTGCTATGACCTTGTTTTTTAATTTCAAATAAAAACTCAGTCTTAAATACTGTTAAAAGTAGGGCTCATTAAAATATAGAGATGAATTCCAATGAATGAGAAAAAGGATAGAAATTAGGTGAATTTATCCTTGCTAAATGCATAGTGTTCAAACAGAGGGTTTTTAGATTCTCAGCTTGTCTGTAGTGCTTGGTGGTATAACCAAATATACATAGGTGACCAAATCTTAATGATACTTTGAAAATTTAAGTTCTGTTGTTTATTTCTAAATGAAATAGTCAGAAAAATTGCATCATGTACTGTATCTATTGCTGGCCAGATATTTCTTTGCTATGAAAGTATCAACGACCTGTTATGCTTCTACCCTAACACGAAGCAGGATTTCCTGCCCCAATCTTCTCCACTAAGCCCCTCCAGCAAACAGGATGACACAAGAAATTAAAAAAACCAACAGACCCATGCTTCTGAGTTTTCTATGAGTAGATCAGCGCATAATTTGAGGGTTCATATGAAAATCCTTTGCTTCCTTGTGTTCATCTATATTCTGCTGGCACTTTTGTCATTTTAGCCAAATGTCTGTCCTATAATGCTGATGAATTAATGCCTCATAGACCCTGGTATGTACTAGTGAGTCTGCTTCATAGACAATGTCATATTTTATAAACTACCCTTGATGACTACTGTGAAGACTATGATAATGCAGGCTAATCTGAGGAAACCTTTGATTTGTGCTATGCTTTAAGCAGAAGATCAGAGAAAAAGAAGAGTCAGAAAGTGACACAAAGGCAGACTTTTGCAAGGTCTTCCCATCAAATACTGTATTTTAAAATTCTGAAGTTTTAAAGGGGTACATAAGTGCATTTTCCCAGATTGAATATTTTATATTTGGCGTTACTTTCATAAACATTTTTTTAGAAAGATCAATAATAACAAATAGTTTTGCTAAATGTGGTGCTAAGTCTAACTAGGCTGAAAGATTTGTTTAACAGAAAGAAAAATCTCTATCACTTCCAGATGCAGTATTTTTCCACAGAGAAGTTCAGTTGCTTGAAGACCAGCACAGTCCAACTGGAGTAGTATATGTGCACTGATTAGTTCAAGTAATGAAACCTCCCATGCAATTGAATATCAGACATGCTTGAGTGGTTAGGATACTGGGCCTTTTCACAGAAAAGTTAGAGAAAGCTTCTGTATCACCAAAAAAAAATCAGATTTATTTTCCTTTGAGGCAAACAGCAGTTTTCTGGTGTTCCCCTTGCTGTGGACGGGAAAGCTGTAGAGGTAGCTGTACAACAGCAGTTGTTACACCACTGTGGATACAGCAGTTCTGCTATAAACTTTTGCTAAACCTGTTTTGTCTATCAATGATATGGTCTAAATGGGAATACAGGTAATCTTTTAAGACTCTTTTGTCTCATTCTGGGCCCTAAAATAACAGAATTATTTAAAGCTTTATCTTTCAGAAAGGCATGCTTGTCACGGATGCACTGAAACATGCGCTATCTGTATCTTAATTCTCTAGCCTTTGAGCAGTGTTAGAATAAATGCCTTGGTAATAGGTTGTTACAGTGAGTGATGGAATATTATTTCATCATTCCCAGACCAGCAGGTCACCTGGGTCTTTTCACCATTTGAAGGTTCTTCTTTCAGTAGCAGCTGTCCACTTGAAACTATTCAGATAATTATCATGTTGCCTCAGAAGCCAGATGCAAGCTGCTGACAAATTGTCTGAGTAGGTTTGCCCTCTAATCTCTATTATGTTTTGCCTCACGTAAGAGTCTGCCATAACATATTAACCTTTCATTAGAGATTAAGTTTTTATGATTATTAAACTTCCAGATGATGTTCTTCAAGTGATACAAAAAAGGCCCTCCAGTCTTTATCTGTATTCTAGATTGGTTAGATTTTTTGGGTGTGCATGTGGGTTTTGATGGCCTTAAATCTTGGCTGCTCTGTTCAGAGGAAGAAGCTGTGGTCAGACCAATAGATGGAGGTACTTCTGCAAATGCTAGTCTGGTATATCTGTGAGACTTTTTGCCAGTCAAGAACATTTGACTTCATTACAGTTCTTAAGAATGTCAGTGAGAGTGAATATTTCACATGGTATTGCTAAGACAGGTTCCTGAAGTAAGATTTTTGAAGATGGTGCTGCCTGTCATTGTTAACCAACATCTCTTATGCTATGATATGTGATAGTATCCTTTCTTTCAGCCTGGCATTGCAACATCCGTCTATAAAGATTAGAGTTCATGTGTACTGTGTAATGCCTTCTTTTTTTTCTAATCAAAATATTCTACTTAGGAGCTTGGTTTGGACTTCTGAGTAATTCTCTGGGTTTGTTTTCTTTGTATCAAACAGTCGTTATTGCTCTAGAAAGCAACTTTCATTGATGAGTGATTTTCTTTTTTCTTTTATATGTTCCAATAACATAAATTGGAGTTATACTGACAATTTGACTTAATTCTGGCAAACTTGTTCTTGATTTCTTCACTTAGAAACCTCAGGGTTCAGAAACTAGGAGGTCAGTTGGATTTTCTTAAGCACACTTTCTCAGAGTAATTCCACCAGTTTTGCCTGGGTGGAAGGTGAGCAAGGAAAAGAGGTTCTTTATCATCTTTATTTTAATTTCAGATAGCCGGATATCATTCTAGAGAAATTAAAGTTGGGGAGGCGTCTTTCTGGCTGCTAATGTTATGCTGGTTTAACATGTTTTTCTACTAATATGGAAGTAAAATAAGCAAAACCGTAAGTTCATTGGCTTCAAAATTATTACTCAGAAGACTTGGTTCAGTGTAGGTATTGTTTACGGACTGAAAATTTATGTTATGAAATTTCTGCAGTACTTTCTTATGTAGGACTTCTAAGATGTGTGTAACATTGGTGCAAAGTAAAGTCCCTTGCTAAGGGACCCAAACTAAGATGGTTGAGGAGTGACTATATTCGTATGGGTTGTGCAGTTCTACCTGCCCATTTGAAGTATACTTAGCTGCTTTTTTTGGGATCCAAGCTAATAAAGCAGCATTTAAATAAAGGTGAAACTTGATCTTGGCTAAAGTTGTTTATGTATTGGTAGCTCTGAAACTGAGCTGTCAGAAATATGTGTATGTGTGTACAAAAGAGTTCTTTACAGCATTCATAATTGATCATAATTAATTTATATATTAACAAATTATTATTGCATAGAGAATGTCCAGAAGAAGTAATAGTAAACAAAATTAACAACACTGTAAAAGAAAAATCTACTGCATTTATAATTAAACCATAAATCACAGGGCCATGAAGCAATCTGTAAGTCAATCATTCATGAACCACAAACAGCATCTACATACAATGCATTGGCTTAAACTCTTTGAGTTGCTGTCCCAGAGTATGTTTAAAGGAGGTTCAAAGTGTGAATAGTAATTTTCTTCAACAGATCTCTCCAGTGCAAGGGAGAAAAAATTTTGCTTCTAGCTGGAAATTATTATATGCACAAAGTTTATTCACTGCCACAAAATGAATATAGAAACAGCCAGTGGTACAACCTTCTGTATTTTAATCTGATCTGCAGACTGAATATGTTTCGTAAAGGTGTTAAATCACGATGTTTCCAAATGTTTTGGTCTTAGCCCTTTACTGGTCTACATGTTTTGGATTACGGTAATCTCAGACAACCTCCAAAAAGGAGTTTGAACAAATATTTAATGCAAGTAATTTCTCTTCTGCACACTTTATATTTCCACTTTGGGCTCTTGCCAGAGGGATTTTTGGTGTTAGAAATGGCTCCTGATATTTTGAACAAAAGTGCTATTTTTAGTAATCTTTATCTAAAATAAACAAACAAAAGAAGAAATCTTGTCTGAAACTTGAAGAGTCATTTTTTACCCTTTTTTAGTCTGTTAATTTAACATGTCTTCAGCTAGACATTGTAAAAATTCAGTATTTTATATACAGACAGTACTTATGCATACAGTGAGATTGTCTGAAAGTCTTTTGCTCTTTTAGAGTGAAGTATTTTAATGCATTCAGTAATTTTGTTGACTGACCATATTTTGAGAAAAATGTTGCTGTAGGGTTTAATCTAAATTACACTTAATTAAAAAAAAATCAAATTTTTTGATTTTTGGTTTTGGTGGGGTTTTCTTTGGTTTTTTTTTTTTATGTGAAAGTATTTTAACCTTATTTTAACTTAAGCAAGATAAAAAATATTCAATCATTTTTAAGTTTTATTTCCAAAATATTTGCTGAAAGAACAAACTCTTTAATTATTCTTTTAGCTTCTGGTTTTGTATATCTTAAAAGTGTTCCATTTCTAAAAGCTGGAGATAAAGCTGACTTTAACACTTTCAATATATTTGAGGATTCGGACAATTTCAATGTTGAAGATGAACATGTTTACAAAATATTGTCCACAGTCACTTCAGAGTTTTTGAAGATCAATGTGAACAATGGAAAGATATCTTTAACTTCAACTGGATTCAGTCCCACAGGTCGTATCATGACCATGAGCTATTTATCTTTGTCAGGCCACTAATCGGGCTCCTATTCCTTTTGCCCTTCGCTGGGCTTTGTTTACCTAAACACAGAACATTTTCCAGCATTGCAGAATTATTACAGTACAGAATATGACTTCAAAGCCTGTTTATGGTTCTTAAAAAATAATGAAAAAAAGCTTTATGTTCTAAAAGATTTTAAATTATGCTATAGAACACATCATTAGAATGAATATCTCCTTATGTGTTTCTTCTATGGTGATTTTCCTTTCAGTTGAAGTATGTGTAATACAGAAGTTCTAATAATACTAAAACTAGACATAGGAAGAAATAACAAGTTAATAACTGAAGTTAAGATTAGAGCAAATTAAAACAGATGCAGGATACATCTGGTATTTTATAAATCAGACAGGATCAGATTATCTTACAATAAAGTATACCGTAATATACAGTATTCAAGGTCATGGAAGGAAGAAGAAAGTGTTATTCAAATTCACATGATTTAAGAAGAAGAAAAATATATGCATATGCATGTATGTCTAGATACATTCAACAATCCAAATAGGCTGAGAAAATCTATTTTGGCCAAAATAAAAGAATATAAGTGCTTACTTTGAGTGTATAGTAGCTTCCTCTTCCGTCAAAGTACGGATTTCTTGAGTGATTACTGAATAGTGTCAGTTTTACCTCTGGGTTCCCCTTTTCAAGAGAACTCCAACTGACAGGAATGACTGATGAAATCTGTTCACCCGTCACTCATTTTTATTTGTAAGTAATGACATCTGCTATAATGAATTAGTTTAATGGCAGGGGGAAAAAAACCCAAACCCACAGTCTCATTTTGTGAAGTCTGTAACACACCAAATGGAATGACCAGACAGTTACAGGGCACAAACTTTGAATGCCACATTTGATCTGTGCTATAATTTTTGGCAGGTGCCACTGATGTCATAACTTGGCTCTGGAGAAACAGTTATTCTTTGACAAGTGCAGATCACTGGAACATAACATATGACTTGCAATAATTCAGTACCGTTCCCTCCAAGAAAATTGATAGATTTTAAAAGAACATGTTAAATAACACAGCTTGTCTCAGGATAGTGCTTCTGAGTGACTGACATATTTCTTTTTCACTCCTTTTTAAGTGTTGGTCTGTAAGAGCACCTGGTAGGCTACATGTCAGGATTCCAGCTAAGCTGTTAATATGCTGAATAGCGCAGGAATCTGAACTCACCCAGCTGCGAGCTGGAATCACAGCGTATATAATTTGTTACAGAATTTAGCACTTCCACTTCGTGGATAGATTCTTCCTCCTTCCACAGATACCGCTGGGTGAACAAGAAAACACAGGGAAGTGAGATGGTGCTTAGTTTGGCAAATGGAGAGAAGACTCAGAGAGACTTCCTGTGCTCAGCTATTATTGGCAACCTGACTGCATAACCCCCCTGATAATTTGGAAAGTTCCATCCTGAAATGAGTTATGTTTCTTACTCTAGGTATTTTCAATGAAAGGTTTTCTTCTGAATTTATTTAAGACAGAAGTTACCCTTCCCTTGGCTCCATGGTACGTAGGGCAGAAATCAGCCCCCCCCCTCTTTTTCCCTCCTCTGAAGACAAAGATTAATCATTCATGAATTTGGACTCTTCTCATACTAATTGTCTTGACAGGTCTCAAGGCCTTTCTCTGCAGTCTTACCGAACGCAGGCAATGAGAACTGTATGTTGCAGCTGAATACCTTATACTCTTCCTTATTTTGTTTAACTGTCTGAATCTAGAATCATATTTCTCTTTTCCAGAGATATACAATGCTCATAGCAGTCACTAATCAATGAAGGCACCCACCTAGCTCTCCCCTTATTTTTTCAAGCTGATAAGCTTCTGCTTATAACAGAAATTTTAATTAGATCCTAAGTTCATGGCTTGTCTTTTGTGCCATTCATTCTATTTCAGTCCTTCAGGTCATCTGTTTCTTTAATCTTTGAATTTCAGTCCCCTGTGCTGATGATAACCTTTGTGACATCCAGAAAATGTCTTTAACTTGCTGCTTCATCTTGTGCCGAATGTCACCACTTAAAACAGTAGTAAGGCTGCTTCTATGACAGCTACCAAGGAATTCCTTTTCTAACCTTCTTGCAGGTAGGGAGCTTTCTCTAAAAGGTCATACCTTATTTTAGCCACCCATCCACTTAAATGTCTTCTATGAGATCTGTTTTTTTTCTCTCTCTCTTTTTTTTTTTTTTTAACAACTTATCTAATATTTTTCCTATGGCAATCTGTTAAGCATTTTACTAAGATTCACAGTTTATCTCATCCATGTGTAAAGACCCACATTTATCTTAGTCAAAGAGAAGCACTGAGGTAATGTGCCATATTTGACCATTGGCAGACCTATTTTGTATTTGTTTCATTTGCCTTCAGGTCTTTAATTGTTAAATCCTCTGAAGTTTGTCTGAAAGCCTTGAATGATATGAAGTCAGACAGTATCTTTGTTTGAAATAAGACAGAATATGGCTCCACCTATAGCACAGTAGGCTGTATTCCAGTTCACTGTCAGTGCCTGAAGTTTGGATGAGATTCATATGTAGAGGTAATATTTTTTCTCAGATCAGCTGGTATAAGCTGGGAAAAATGCAGGAGGTCTGATATGCAAACAGCAAACTTCAAAGCTAAATATTAGTTAGGAACAATTTTTCTAAGTTTAAATAGATAAATCTCAGTGAGACCATTAGAGAGAAAAGCTGGTTCCTCTGCTGAATAGAAGAGATAGTAAAGTTCACCTATCTCTTACCATAAAAGAAAATAGGTTATTTATTGTTTTCTGGATGTGGTTAGTAGATGGGGAGAAAGAAAGAAGGAGATTGTAACATGTCACTGTATACCTATTGAGCCCATAGTTAGTTTAGATGAACAACATAATTATTTTTTCCACTAATCGTTCAGTAAGACAGCACAACTATTAGTGGAAGGTAGCCATGAAATGTAATATGAGGTCTATAAGTCACTGCTCCAGCACAGACTGCTCTGTCTGATAGCTGATCCTGGATCCCAAGCAAATGCCCAAGTTGCTGATGATGGTGTCAGCCTCTTACAGTTTCTCTTCTTGGAGCTGCTCTACTTTATATAAATAATGCAATACTCTATGTTTGAGTGGCACAGTCAACAGCATGCTTGTTTAATATCTTGTATGACTCATAGGGGGTTTTTGCACTTTCCCACATAACTGGCTAGTTTGCCTCACATTTTGACTACTAGTTATTCTAACTCATGTTTATTCATAGCAAGGAAGTTACTTGAATATTCTTTCAAGAAAAAAAAAATTGATTTCACTGTGATCCTAACACAGAACATATCTCAAAATCCTGCTTCTATTCTTATGTCTGAGATTGCCCAAATTAAATGTGTCTGAGGGCTCACCCACAGTTCTGCTGTGTAATTTCAGTGGTGCCTAGTGGCAAAAAAGCATAAGAAACTCTAGGCAGAGGACTAGGCCACTACAATGCAAACAGATAAATAATCAGAGCTTATTGAACTCTGTAATTAGACTGGCTGAGACAGCATGAAAACTCAGTGTGATACTACAGAGAGGTAAAAATATGGTCTTCTTAGGCCTTCTTATAGTAAAGTCAATTGCATGAATATGATGTGACTTTTGAAGTTGCATAGATTTACTCTATACACTTGCTAGATGAATCAATATTTTCTGCAAATTATTTCAACTTTCAAAAGCACACAGATCCCATTATACTTTTGGAGGTTTATAGCCTAACCTGGCAGTTTCACTTAAGAAGTTGACAAGCCCACAGTGTACGTCTCCCAGTATAGCTCTGACAGTTGCTTTTGCTCATTCGTAATGATTTAGAGATACTAATAGATCCCATGTAGTGTTCTCTTGCACTGACACAAGCTTTGGTGTTTTAGATATTGTACTATAGTATACAGAATACAGCTTTAAATTATGGTATATGTAACAGTGTATTTTGGAATGTTTCCTTACTGGGCTATTATCAGGACCTGAAGGACCTCACAGACCTTCACAGACCTGTTCAGTCTCACACATGACCCACACCACTGACCAAGCACCCTGCTTCCCCTTAAGCCCAGGAATCTTATTCCTGTCTGAACTCTTTCTGCAAGATCCCTGTTTCTCACCCTGCCCCTGGACAGACCTCAGGCTTACATCACAGACCAGGCATCTGGCGAACGTATTTAGCAACAGCTTCATAGGTAACCTGTCTCAACCTTTCTCCTGGCTGTGCAGTAGACATGTTTTATCTCCTCGCCATTCTTGGGGCTGCTGATGGATGCTGTTACCAGCACCTGAAGCAGGAGCCTGCTTGAACTGCCATTCTGAGATCCCACAGGAGGATGACTTCTTCTTGGTGAAAGCAGTGCTTGTGCCACTTGGCTCCTGGTTTATACCTCTGTTGGGGAAGCCAACTTATTTTTTTTTTTTGCCCCTAACCATTACTGTGGATACAACTCCATTGGTGATAGTAATAAAGGCACATCAAATGTGGTGGAAACCAAAACTGAACCCAGAAAAGTGTGTGGAAGAAAAGGCTGTCTTGCCTACAGTTGGGGTCTCACTAATCTGTACAATTTTGTAAAAAATGCTCAAAATAGTGTTGGCAGTATGACATTCTAATTTGTTGATTCGAAGTCTGTGCTACTAGTAGTTACAATCACACACTAAACCAACTTTTATGCTGACAAACCATGAACTCCATGGCTGCCATCAGTGTTTGAGATGTACAGACATAAGTGGCTCAGAACAGTTTTAATTCATCTGAGTGACTGAAAGAATTATTACTGTCAAGTACATTAAGAAGGTGGAAAACACCTAGTAGTTAGTGGATTCTGATAATTCACATGGTCAGTTGTATAGATATCTATGTAGATAACTACTACATAGGCAGGCTTCTGTACCTATGTTGACGCTGTCAATAAGATGCTTGTTTGCATTAAGTAACCAAGCCTTATCCTTCACTGAATGGAAGAAAATTCATTTATTACAGGCCGTTGAAGATTTCAGTGGACATTTAACTGCAGTGACCTCTGGATAGTCTAGCAGGCTGCAAAATGCCTATTTCTCTCCCCACTTATGCTCGGTTGCATGCACTTGACTACCTGAAGAGGAGGGTGCCTAGTCCGTGATTTTCGTTTGACTTCCTTTTCCTTATTAGGACGATGTTTGTCTTTTGTGTATTGCACATTAATTTCAAGCATGAGGGGAAACACACCAAAAGGAATGAAGACTAAATTGCAATACAGCAGTTAGTTTCTGTTTTTTACTGACACAAAGTTCCTCCCAGCTTGCAGGGCCTGCAGTACATGCTGTAAGCTCCCTCAGGAAAGGGAGGGAGGGAGCTTATGTATGATATATATGTAATTACAGATGCAAGATGCATAAAACAGGACAATGTGGAATGAGCTGATGAGGTTTAGATGGCACTACAGTCTTCCTGTTGTCTGGGAAAGTGTTCTTACTGTCTCAGCACTGCTCTTGCTTTGATACTCAGAAAACATATCCACCAACTACTCATTCAGGCCATCTCTCTAGCGTCCATTTGCTGAATCTTGTCTTACTGCCATCTACTTTTCTTTACTCTCAAGCTTTTGCCTGCCTTGTGTGGATGTACCTTCTGTTGTGTGGTTTTGGCCAGCAAGGTCAAGCTTCCTTAAGCTTAAAAATCAGGGTGATGAATGTTTTCCCTGCAACTAGAAGATAAGCAGTCAACAGAATTTAAGGGTTCTTATTACCATCTTCCTTTCTGTGTCAGGGGACAATGCTTTCTGTGTGCACCAGAAAAGGAGGCATAGCATGGATGGTTCCCAGGAGAGACATGCCAAATGGAGCGCAAAAGTAGAGGACAAGG